CATTGGGGTGCACCTATAAAAAATATTAAACATATTTTTTCGATAAAATATAATTACCAAAACACCCCATGAAATTTTTTTGGGAGTAGTTTTGTCATTTTATTTAATTGAAAAATGTTTTTTATACTTTTCACTAGTATGAGTTTAATAGAGGAATGGACATCCAAAATTTGGTGTCAAAACAGTTTATAGAAAAAAATTAAAAATAAAATAGTGTAGAGACGTGACATTGTGATTAAGACAATCTTAGCCCTCCATTCAGAATGGACAGTTGGATAAGGGAGAGGATAGAACTTCTATGCTGTAGATGAAGCATAGAAACATTTCCCTTGTGTTTTCCAATGACCATAGTTTCAAAGGATAATTCTTTTGAAATAACACCTGATATTTTTTCAACGAGACAGACAAAATGTAGAGTTTGAGTTTCTTAGTAATTAGACATGTCTATTTAAAAATCGGATGTTCCTTGTTGGACATGAATCTTATAGAATTCATTTACTTTTCTTTATTTCTTGAGGTTGCCCGCTAGGTTGGGGATGTTACATCCCAAGATCTTGAGTTCTTACAAGTACTCCTAGTCTTGGATAGAGTTTTTACGCAATGGTGCACAAAACTGTAGGAGAATCTAATTTTTTTAGTTTACAATAGAGAACAAAAGCCTATGTGAAGCAACTCTATAAGGAAAGAAAAAAAATGGAAAAAAGCAAAAATTCCTAATGAATGGCCAAAGTATGCCGGAGGGACATAGCAACCTTAAGTCCGTGTAACCGATCAAGAAGCATCATTATTTGAGTTGTAAAACAAAGCCAGTGTTGGGCTTTATTCTATTCTTCTTCTGTAAAGGGCAAGACAACGCTCCAAATTTCAAATCCATTGGTTTATGCAATGTCTTATATAAAATCGTAAGCACAATTATTTTCAACCGTTTAGAGAGGGTTTTAGATAATATCATTGATCCTAGACAAGTAGTCTTTCTAAAAAGGAGATTATCACGCATAATATTTTGATAGAAAATGAGTTTATTTCTTTGTGTAACAAAAATTCCAAAAATGCTGAAATGTGCTTACAACTTGATTTAGCAGTGCTTATAATCATGTTTCTTGAAGTTTTATCCTCGCAAAGTTGCAAGCATTGGATTTTCCATAGCTTTTTATATCTTGGATTTGCCTTTGTATTTCAACTTCATATTTCTCAATATTGTGCAATAGATCTCCAATAAGCTACTTTTGAGGGAAAATGGCCCTAAGACAAGGGGATCCACTATCACTCTAGCTCCTTTTGCTGGTCATGGATTTTCTTAGTCGATAGTTGGATTATGCATTGGTGCAGGGTATACTTCCTCGGGCTTTTCCCTCATCGTGTGATTATGAAATCCCTCACCTTTTTTACGTTGACGATCTTTAGTAAAGCCTCTCGTTATGCTGCTATTATTATGAAATTTATCATTTCAGATTCTGAATTGACCACTATCCATAAACTAAATTTTACCAAAAGCAAAATATTCTTCTTTGGTGTTGCACAAGGTATTAAACACGTGGTATTAATGAGCTTGGTTTTGGTGAAGGTTATTTATCAGTGAGATATTTTGGTCTTTCCCCATTCCATGGGGATTTAAAGCACTTCCACTGCCATAGCTTGGTTGGGAAAGTATTTGCCAAAATAGGAACATAGCAAGTATTGTCTCTGTCACATTCATGCAAAATACAATTGCTGAAATCAGTATTAAGTCAATGCATGCAAACTACAATTGCCTAGATGTACATGCAATATGGTGGAGAAATTACAGCGGAATTTCTTATGGGCAAATACAGCTGAAAAGACATGTCTTCATCAGCTGGAATGGAATAATGTATGTCTTACTCTTGAAGAGGGGGGACTTGGGATTAGAAATACTGTCGATTTCAACATTGCCAGCATGATGAAATTGGCTTTGTGGGTTTTGTCCTTTAAGCAACAATATCAGATGAGTTATTGGTGACAGTAAGTTGGTGGATTTTTTAACAGATCCATGGTTATCTGAAAAGTCTATTTGAGAGTCTTTGATACAAATGTCTATTAGGACCTTTGTGTATTAGCTAAACCTATGGTATTATATTATTTACAGGGGACTTCACTGTATTAGCTAAACCTATGGTATTATATCATTTACAAGGGACTTCACAATCTATGTTGAGAGCAATATGGTCTTCAAAATGCCATTACAGAGCGACTTCCCCCCTCTTTCCTTCTTTAATAACGAGGAATCACCGTGGACTCTCTGTGTCCTTTCTGCAGTAATAATGATGATACGTTAGAGCATTTTTTGTGGATCCACATTTATCGAAGGTTTGATTCTTTGAATAACTTGGTATGTTAGCATCTTTGGAGAGCATGTCGTCCCTCATTGGGTTGTTAAGTGGCTGCCGCATAAGGCACATGAGGACTTCATCAATGGATGTATGCATGTATTTAGTTCAAAAGGGTTATTTAAGGGGCTATATGATCTATGAGTATGAGTTGGTCTCAGGGTTTGAAATTTGAAGCTTCAGGGATTTCCAAATATGATGATGTTTTTGCAGATGGAAATGGGGATTTCTCACGAGATGGTTGTTGAAGATGGGATCTCCACCCATCATTTTTTTATTCATTGAGATATTTATGTCATAAATATGAAAGTCTAACCACTGATCATCTCCACTGTAATTTGTTTCTTGTTATCGTCAAATTATTCAGCAACATTGATAAGCACAATGGGGTTTTTGCATGAAAATTTATGATCTTGAAGTGATTTTTAGGTCCTTTTTTTATGAGTATTAATTGCATACTTTCATTTAATTATTTAACTTTTTAGGCAATTTTTTATGGCTAAAACATGTGATTCCAGCCAATTAGTTTGAATAAATTAAAATAACTTTAAAAAAAAGATAAACTAATATGTAAAACTGATTATAAGTTTATCTTAGATGACTTTAAGATGGATATTGTCCAACAACGGGTAGGTCATTATCAAGATAATTTTATTAAAACAATGAATTATCATTGCAGGCAAGTACTTTTCCATCCAAAATGTTTCAGCTATCCTTCTGATTCATCTTTTCCTGATTTGTCGAATCCTTAAGAAGAGCTCGGGACAAAGGCTGGTCTAGAATATTTCTTAGTGTCACATATATACTGAGATTTTGGTCTTCTGATAGGCTCACAATGGTAATGGTATTGATTCAGTGCCAGTTCTCTCCCAGGATCATGCCTTACTTTTCTAATATCCACTAATGTTTTGGCAACCTGTCTGTGTATGCATATGTTTTTTCAAATTAGTGGCAACCTCTCTGTCTATGCTTACGTTTTATCAACAGATCCATGATTATTATACGCCAGTACCGCATTAAAACTTTAATTCTGGTGGATTGTACTTGTTGGGACCCATACTTGTGGTTACAAGATCTTTTATTGGGTCTTTGTACAATTCATTTGTTTCAAAGACATAGCATTGATTTGCTGAAGCATAATCTTCTTATATCAGCATAATTGATCGAGTGATAAATTAGCTCACAACTTCTTTGCAAACTCAAACTACAATTAACAAATATGCAGATTACTTTGTGGTGAATTTTTTCTATCTTTGTTCTTCAGTGGTCTGTGATTTCTCACGCATCACATAGCAAAGTGATTTGAAGGTTGCAATATCAAAAAAATAATTTTTATTTTTTTGGTTCAATTTATCGTCCTTTTGTACTTTTGTGTGTTCTTGGTGTCAGATTTCTTTATCTTATTTGCATAAAATCATTTCAACTTCCTCTTCATTCGCTTCTCGTCAAAATCATAAAGAAATTGACAATGTGCTTTTCTTTTGGTAGATGGGAGTCAATTGCAAGGCTCTTGTTGAACATTGAAGTTGTTGGTTAAACCGAGGTTACCTAACAAAGAAAGATTGTGACCTTTTATGTGATACATATGTTTCGGCTTTTGGATCGCTACAGTTTATTCGCTTCCCATGTACTCATGCCATGTGTTTTAATTATACTATTCTCAACGTAGTTGTATGCTATTCCCATGTACATAGTTTATTCTATTCCCATGTACTCACGCACTTGTATGCTTCACCTCCGTCATGATCATAGTTGTTGGGAAGGGGATCAGAAACGGTTATGGGATCAGGGACGGGATCAATGGATTGAGGCTAACCGAAAGCTCCAGTGGGGTATGTGAAAGTGAGCTTTGAGGGAAATTTATAAAGGGCTAGTGAGAAGACCAAGGAAATTGTTTTCCCACACCGGTCCTTTAGAACAATTAGAACAAATCAAACGCTTTGGGCATTGTTCTTCAGTTTGAGAAACTTTGACCACAAATGGAGGAATTTGATTATAGAAGGGGGCTCTACCTAGGTAATAGCTTGGGCAAAGCGAATCTTACCCTTGGAAACCAGCAAATATATTTGAAGCGTTCTTGGTTTCATAACCAGCATTAATGGGCGAGGGTGTGGTTATACTTAGAGGGAGTCCAACAGGTTAGCAGACTCCCTAGTATGTGAATGAAGCTCCAAATCCTCAGTATCGATAATTACTTTTACTACTTGCATAAATACTAATTTGGAGAATTACATTCTTACTTGTTGAGTCTTTTGTGCATGCACTTGTTTTTGGACAAGAGAGATATACATGTACTCACAATTTTAATCAATAAAATGCCATTAACTTAAAATAAAATAATGATAACCATTAACTTAAAATAAAATAACGATTAGTTCCTCCTCTTTATCCTCCTAGAAAGTCATTCATGGGCCCTATCCAAGTGGAAGGTGATTTCTTAGATGTTATTCATTGGGCCAGAGGCTTGTGAATATTTCAAATGAGATTCATGATCGACCAGTGACATTTCAGCATGTATCATGAACTTCTAATGACCCAGGACATAGTTTGCACATGCTGGCAACAGCAAGAGCTTTTTATGGGAACTAGCCCCCCAACAACATGCTCTTTTATGACCCTTTGTTTATGTTGTGATTTTTACTCCGCCCCCATCATTTACATCTCAGAATGACTGCTTTGATATTACACATCGTGATGTAGCAATTTCCTATTCTCAACATTCGAAAGAAAAAAGATTTCTAACTGCTGGAATGAAAGGCCCTTGAGAATCTTCAGAAAAACAGTGCAACTGTACTGATATGGCATCCAAAAGAACATCCTTCACCACTACCCAAATGAACTCATTCAATCATGCATCTAATTTGAGTTTTTAAATCCCTGATATACTACTCCCCTTCTTCAATCTCCCATCTCAAGCTTCATTTTCCTCCTATTTACTTATCAAATAACACTTCTTGCCTCGATTCTGTATCCGCTATAAAGTGTTACATGAGGAACATGGATATCAATGCAACCCTGGTCTTTCAGTTTGCAAACCTCTTTCCATGAACAAGATTAAACTTTTGACATTGACTCGCCCTTTACAATTATCAATCAGAGTTTCCCAAAAAACATTATACTACCTTTGACATCTGAAATAGCAGCATGTAGTTGATAGGTAGATTGGCAAATGCAGACTAAGTTTTACATAAACCTTCTAGAAAGCATGTTACTCTTCTACCCTGCCTAAATCTCCCACCACTCCTACATAGCCTCGATGCTCTTCACTACTTATGTAATAACATGCCTACCTCAATATTCTCTCTCCAGGCCATCACCATAGCTTTTGTTTTAGTCAAAGTCACCTTTTCTCCAATCATATGTAACTGTAACATTATGTAATGAGAAATATGCAAGTTCTGACCGCTTAAAATGGGGCCCAATTGTTCAGTAGAATCAAAAGAAAGTCGAAAAGAAGCAAAACCCTGAGAAGAAACAAATTATGCTGGAGTAATGGGAAATTGCTCCTTTATTGGCATGGGCATTAGCCACTGAATTATCTTTTCTCCACAAGTTTCTGAGGTTTAAATCACCAGTGAGCTTGTGATGTCGGAATTTGGTCAACAAGGGGCTCGAGTTGCTCAGGGCAGGGGGCTGACTTGGAAGCGCAAGAAAGTGATGACATCCTTACCACACATTCTGAGTTGTAAAGTTGGATGCCATGAATGAAGGCTGACACTTTCGTAAGGGTGGAGTTGGCACTGCCGATGGACCCCGAGAAAGAGAGGATTGGTTGATAAAAAGGTGCTGAACACACCATCTATGCCAGTGTGGCTAGGGCTACCCAGGAAGCAACCATCAAAGTCCAGTTTGATGGACCCCTCAGGCAGGGTAGACCAATAATTCACTCTACTCAGCTCTCTGGTTTAAAGCACCTGTCCCCAATTTTGCTTGAAATCAGAGCGGGACAATCCTTAGAGGAGCTTGTGCTAGTGGGTCCAATAAATGAACAAAGAGATGGTACAATCCTCAATAGATTGGGCTCTAGATTCTTTAGCTTCAAAAGTTCTAGCATTATCAAAAGAAATTTTCAACTGAACTCAATCAGTCAATAAAACCCTAAAAGTGGTGATATATTTTTCCAATGAGGATTAATTGCAACAAACATTTTAATGGGTTGTTGATCCCACTCCTGAGGTGTACTTACTGTACCTGTGTTCCTCCTCTCTTCCAAGAGAACCAAACCTGTATGGGCTTGTCCTATATAGTCTATTAGTACCGGTTGGAGATCTTTCAAGTTCAAATCCCCGACTTAAAAAAAGTACAAAATATAAAAAAGACAAAAAATGATGTATTTTACATGCTTAACGAAGATTAGGGTAGGTCATGTGTCATCGAAATCGAAGTGGTACTAGAGGCGGATGGGCAGGCCAAAATTCTGGAAAGTTCGAATCTCTCCTCCCAACCCACCGGTCACCACAACTAGACCCCATGCTGTCGCTGCTGCTGCCTGCTGCGAAGAAGAAGAAGAACCTGCTGCCTGCTGCGAAGAAGAAGAAGAAGAACCTGCTGCTGCAGCTGCAGCTGCAGCATTAATGTCTCCCTCATTATTACTATCCCACCAAGATGAAGAGGAGAATGAATGCCCCCCCACACCCCTAACTGATTCTGAAAAAGACATGCTGCCCTCTCCCTCCTTCAAATGCCGAAGGCTCTTGCTGCTCAAGAACACGTCTTCCAAGGTGGGGATGGCGGCAGAGGAGGATGGGGTTCGAGGACATTTCCGTCCCCCCTTTACCCTTGACAAGCATGATGTCACTGGCTGCTGCTGCTCACGGCTAGACCCTGGCCATGGAATGGCGACAGATACATCTCGACAGGGGAAGTGTTCGTGAGATCGAGAAGTGACCGCTGCTGCCCATTTATTCCTCCCACCCATGCCTGTGACTGCATTGCATGAATCCTCGTGCTTCCACACATACACATTGGAATCCTCACTTGCACAAATTATGTACTTCCCGTCTGCAGTAAATGACGCCGATATCTGGCTGCTTGTGTTGCGGAAACCTACGTGAATGGCCCTTCTTAATGTCACACCCATTGTAATGCCGCAAATTAAGGCTAGGACTCTCACTGATTGATCAATGATAGGCATGAACAAAATAAAATTGATCTGTACTCTCATCTAATGATATCACATAACACGCACATAGGCATGCACTCACACACTCGCTAATACCTTTGTATTTGTGGATAAGTTCAGTGCCATCGAAGATACGTATCCGTGAATCAGCAGAAGTTACCAAAACTTCACTGGAACTACCAGGGGCAAACTGTACAACAATGAGACAAATATATTCCAAGCCAGTTAATAAAAAAGCAAGAACTGAGCTAGCTAGTCCACAGCAAGTATATCATCAGTCAAGGAAATGCACATTAAGGCATTAAGGTGACAGTGATCCCAAGTTTCCAACAATATGTTTAACACCAACAGAATACCTGGAAACCAGTGATCTTCTTGGCATGGGATTTCTTTTTTTTGTTCTGCATATCTATCTGACTTTTCTGCTGCAGCTTACATCCTGTATGAAGCAAACATCGCAAAGAATGTCTATATGTTATGAGGTGCAATTCAAAGAATAAATCGAAAAGAATCACATTCTCAATTCAACTCATGAAAGCTCGGCCACATAGGCAAAAATCAGCTCCCAAAAAGGGAGGTAACAGCAGAAAGAAAACACTGGGGTTTGGTATGATTGAGTGGAAGTTAAGGCGGAATTAGCCAGATTGTGTGCCTGGTGACAGGCTAACTCTTAATTGGGAAACTTCAACTCGGTATGCATTTGTTCTGTTCCAAAATTAAAAACGTAAAATCAAGTTTCAAAGTAAAATTGGTTTTTCAAAGAGAATACTAGTGTAGGGACATTAAAAAGACGAGGCAAGTTTCAACAATTCATCATATTCTTTTCAGGGAAGACAAAATGCAAATAAACAATGTAAAATGAGGACTAAAACTTGCCTTGTAAAAAACCAACATTAAAAAAAAAAAACGCATTGTGAAAAGCAACAAGCAACACAGTCAAACATCAAATGACTTAAATTACAAGATAAAAATACCAGGTGCCAATGGTGCACATTATCAAGTATGAAATGCAAGTTATTTACAAAAAGAAAAAGAAAAAAAGAAAGAAAATGCCATGTATACCTGACATGCTGAATAAATGGCAACTCCCTCTATTTGAACCAACTAATGCACCCTTCACAGAAAAAAATAAACATTATTATAAATTAAGATGCAGCTCTGCTGTGTTGAATCCTATAATCTCACTTGCTTAGCTTGCTTTAGTGTATAAAGTTTGACCTGGCCATCAGGTGTGTAGCACGCAGCAGTAACCATTTCATGTAGATCACTCCAATCAACAACCTGACGATCGGGTATGCTCCATATGCGTACCTTGGCGTCAAGGGAGCCACTGATGAAGTATCTATTGTCGACCGGATTGAATTGGATGCAGGTTACTGCCTTAAACAAAACCCAATAAAAGAAACAAATATATTAGAGCTACTTATTTCAAAGCCAACATTATAAAGCATGATAAAGTGAGAAATTCACCGTAATCATTGTGTGCAAATAATTTCAGACAAGCCTTGCTTGACATGTGCCAGAGTCTAACAGTTTTGTCCATTGAAGAGGAAAGAAGGTGCTGCATATAATGTGGGAATCCTAGAAGTCAGTATACACATTCATGTTTTTTTGGGTAATTGAGTATACACATTCATGTTGTGTACATAACAATGCATTATCACCAGAAAAAAAACTCGAGGTATGATATATAGGAAAGAACTTCATAAATGTCGGTTCTGTTAGTATGGCAGTGGAATAGAAGAGGAGAAGGCAACAACATGGGTGCTGTGTAACCTGGGATTTGGACCAGGAGAGGTCGAGCACGTCGTCAAGGTGTCCCTCAAAGGAGCAGATGGGCTTCTCCGAAAGCAAGAAGATGGTATCAGGTATCATTAAATAGTCAGGGGGAACTGATGAAGAAGAATGATGCTTCCTGTTGGAAACACCGAAATGTGAAGAAGAAGAGAAAGAAGAAGAAGATGATGATAAAGACTTGCTCCTTCTCGTTGAGGATGAGAGCAGGCGGTCCCTGTCCTGGGGCCCGGTCTCGGCCTCAGAGACTTGCCACACGTGAATGACACAATCTTCCCCAGCAGTGGCGAGGTAGCGGCCATCGTGGCTGAACTTGATGCTCCATATTGAGCCCTCGTGGCCCTGAATCTCCTGGCACATGTACAGGCCCGTCAGCTCCTTGTAGGACTTGCCATGCTGCCGCACCTTCATCCTCTCAGAGGCATCCAACACATAACTGCCCTCTCCTTCTGCCCCTCCTCCTCCTGATGACACATCTCCCCTATCCTCTCTCTTGGGGTGGTGGTGGTGGTTGTACACATGACTATGACCATGGCCATGTCCTGCCACTACGTTGCTCGCTACTACCCTGATGTTCTTCATAAGCCACAACGCATTGATGCTTCCTCCTCCCCTCCTCTTCGATGATCTCCTCATGGTTGATAAGGAAGAGAGGAGTGGCTTGTTGTTGTGTTTTGCTGTAGGGAAAGCAGAAGAAGAGTCTCCTCCCTTGGGAAAGGTGGCAAAGCTCTCACGCCGCATCAGCTCATGGACGATTGGGGAGTAACCGACGGACCTCTCGAATTCCTCCGTGCTCAGCTGCCGGCCATCCCACATTCCGTCCTCCCTCACAATGAATAGTTTTCCATTGTCCAAATTTCTTATTATGCAGTGCTGTTGCTCATTCACTTCTGTAGCAGTGGCCCCATCTGCCTGTGCCCTTTCATCATCATCATCATCATTATTACCTTTGCCGTCATCATCATTATCTATAACACCGCAATCTTTGAACTCCTTTACATCATTGAAAGAGCTGGACCGGCGGAGAGGATGAGAAATGACTGCTCCTCCTCCTCCTCCTCCTGCCCAAGTGAGGCACCTACCAACCTCCTTGATCCTCTTTATACTTTTGTTGGTTGTCCCCACCGCCTCACCCATGCGAAGAAGGGCAGCAAGAGGGGGAGTTTTGATGGCACTGTTGTAGGGCTTGTCCTTGCTGTTATGATTCCGGAGACTGGTGATGCGTAGGAGTCCCATCTCATTGCTGAGGCCCATCCCTTGCAGGAGTCGTTGGCGACGCTCTGTGATGGACCCTGGCTCTGCCATCCACACATCATACCTGCCGCCGCCACTGTCATCACCATCTTTGTCATCGTAGTTGTCGTCATTGTCATTGATGGAATAAGAAGGGCGTGCTGAGAATCGAGCAAGACTGTCATCTTGAGCATCCCACCACCCTGACAAGCGACCAGAAGTGGAGGCAGATGACGGCAATCGTTCTAAAGATTCAAAGAAGTCCTCTTCTTCTGATGAAGACGACAACAAGGATGCTAATGTTGCATTTGTTGTTGTCGTTGTCACACTGTCCACAAACATCTATATGATGAAGAAAATGAACGACAAAAACACGGTAAACAAATCACAATTCAATCAATCACCGAGAAGGCCCTCTTTGGTAACTGAAAGGTGTTTTCCTGAAAAATCTCTGGGAAATTGCGAGTCTAAGATAGAGGTGGAAGTAAAAAACTGCTGGCTGGAAGCTTTGGTAAACTCTGCGGAAGCTGGGGAAATCCGCTGCTGGCAATATCCCCTGTTTGCTAACCTGGAAAAATACAAGTAATTTGAATGGAGCAAAACAGGTGACATGCATAAAGAATTAGCATACAGAGGCAATAGAAGGCGATCCATATCAAGGGAGTTAGTTTACTAACAAGCAAAAAACAAAATAGAGCAAAACATCAAGGGCAAAGTCCCAATCAATTACTAACAGAGCAACTCCTAATTGAATGACACATTCCTTACAGCAACAACAATTGTTAATTCAGGGATTATCTCAATACGAAATTTGGGATGCTAATTCAACGACTCCTTTGAATACAATTCAAGCAAAACGGCATTACAGGGATTAGTAATCACAAAATTTGTTGTATCAATAATCTAAGGCTTAGGCATCTCAGTATAATCGGTAATGAACAAACTGAGAGGATGCAAGAACCGTAACATAAGACCAGACATAAATGATACACTCCGAGTACCAGGTCTTTTAAATCCCAAATGAATATTCGGCATATTACCTTATGAAGGTCTTTAATGTTACCTTATGAAGGTCTTTAGATACAGTTTTTTTCATGCTCTGCGGTCTATGAAGAACCATTTTCTATATATTCTGATTATGAAAATTTATCAGAGCTCTGAGGTGAATTAAGAACATTGAAGATTGATAACAAATCACAATTAAGAACAACGAATAACATACCTGAAATATCTCCAGAGGTTTGAAGAGAGAGCGGAAAAAACGAAACGAGAACCTGTGGAAGAGAGCAACAACCAGAGAGAAAAAGCAGAACAGAGAGGGATAGATAGAAAGTGGGTGGGTGCAGAGAGAGAAAAGGGATAAGGGCTGGAGAGAGGAGGGGGCTTGGGTTTGCAGAGGAAGAGAGAGCGAGAAGAGGGAAGGGGGCTTCCGAATTGCCCCCTTTCTACGGAAGTCCGCTGCCGTTTTCCCCAAAAACAGGGGAAAAAGGGAGCCCTGCAATTCTCCCGCCATTTCACGCTGAGAAAACATGGTATTTTCCGGGTAACCAAACAAGACCTCTCTCTCTCTC